GTGGATGACCCTGGTTCGTCAGATGTCAGAGGTAGACATCTTGAGCCTTTGTCCCAGGACTTCCTCCTCTCTGATTAAGCTCTCCCCTGCCCTGTGCACTTTGAGATAGGAGAGGGCTGGTAGAATGTGTTTAGCCATGGCTGAGTGACTTTTCAAGTTTTGTATTATGTGGTCTTTATCTCATGCTGGCTATAATGATCATTTCCTGCCAGTGGGTCTTTCCTTTCCAGCTGTGCGTCTAAGAGAGTGCACCCTTTCCTGCTCCTGATAAGGACATATGAACACTGTTCTGAGAACCTCTAGCATTTAACCCATATAGCAGAATGTCATGGTTCACACCCAACACCCAGCACATGGTGACAGACAGAGAACTGAAACCTCCTCTGATGGCCAATCTGGTAGCAGGATCGGATGGGCAGCAAGGGGAGGCCTCAAACTCAAAGGGCCCTGGATACCTCCAGAGGTGGCCACTGCTCACTGTATCTGCAGGACTTCGGACAGGAGATAGACAAGGAGCTGGGGGACAGTAGTCATGCCTCCTTCTCCCCTGTGGAAGAGTTCACGAAGGCTCTGCCCAGGCATTGGTGAGTGCATATTTGGAGAGGTCTCAAATTGCAGCCACCCCAGGTGGCCAGAGAGTGTCCAGAGTCACAGGCAACTCCCTGGAGACCCCACTGAGACCCATCCTAGGGTTTTCTCCCTTTAAGGACCCTCTTCCAACCCTAAGGACTCCTCTCTCGAAACCCTTTCCTCTACTCGAATCCCCACTCCAGTTTTGGCCCCGTTCCACTTAATTCTTCCAATACTTCCTTGACTATCGGAGGGGAAGCCCTTTGGACATCTTTCCCTTTTTGTTCAATATCGCCTGCACTTTCATTTGGCCTACTCTCTTTAGTGCTTTCACTCTGGATACTAGATGTCTCATCTGGCAGTTGGCTTGACAGTCCGTTCACACTTGTGTCCAGACGCACACATCGTGACCTGTGACGTGGACACCATTTCCATTCCCCAGAGGCCACTGTTGATATTCTGATATATCTTATTCAGAGAGCCTTGGTGGCAGGTGATTGTCGGTCCTGCCGTAGTTAGCTTTCAGGAGCCATTGATGTCACTAAACGTTTGTTCTATCAACTCTACGAGGGCTTGTGGCCTGAGGTGTGACTGGGTTTTTGTTAGTCATACAGGTATTGACTGTGACCATGTGGTAAACCAAAAGATTGGAGGTGCCCAATATTGGAAGTTCTTCTCTAGCCTCAAACACTGCTCAATAAATGGAGAATTGGTTACTTCTAGAAGCAGTTGTGTGTCTCCTGCCACTTTCAATGAAACCTGTGCTTCCCACTCTGAGCCTCATCCTCTACATGTCGGGTGGATCTTGTTGCTGTTTCAGACTATAACCCTTCTATGTCCCACATTCAGGGAAACAGTGGATTGGAAACATTTTTTTTTTTTTTTT